ACGGAGGGGCGGCGCCTTGACGGCCGGGCTGGGCGTGCGGCGCACACCTTGCACGTCACGGCTCGAGGGGCGGGGCGAGAGGGCTGACGGGCCCGCGCTCTCCGGGGGGCGGGGCGTGGGGCGGGGCGTGCGCGGCAACCCGGACCCTCGGGCTGGAGGCCGGGACTGGGTCGGGCACAAGCGTGCGCGAGGGGCCTAGGTGACCAGGAGGGCGGGGGGATTCCGGGACTGGGGCCTGACCCAGGGCCCAGGACGCCATGGTGCTTCTGGGTTTGAAAGCTGATCTGGCTGCTTCTCGGAGAGCCGAGCGTGGGACAAGCCCCAGGGACGGCGAGGGGGCGGCGGAGGCGGAGGCGGGCGCTGACCCTCCATGAGGTCTGGGAGCCTCGCCCGCTCTCCCGCCCTCCGGGGCCGAGATGATAAGGGCAGTGGGCCAGTTGGGTGCCTGGGCATCGGAGGTGGGTGCGGCGTCCCGCACTAGGCCAGGCACCTCCTTTGTGTTCTGATCCTAAGGGACCTCACTGGGAGCCCCCTGTGGGCTGGAACCTCCCCTCTGGGCCCCTCCAAAGGTGCTCTGGGGACCCAGGCTGGGGGCAGGGGCTGGGATTTTTGTGAATCAGGATCACGACAAGACAGGCACCTCCACTCACCCATCAGGCTGCCCCGTAGCAGGCTCCACAGCACAGACGCCTGACCCCTCCCGGCCTCTCTGCTCACAGAGGAGGGACCTAGGGAGGCCTGGGGGACTTGCCGAGGCCACAGAGCTGGGAGAGCCTATCGCCCAGCCACGGGCCACGGGCCACAGCTGGACTTGAGCCGCTGGTCTGGAGGGACCTGGGTGTAGGAAAGTGGGAGGAGGGATTGTGCGGGGAGAGCTTGAGGCCCAGAGCAGATCAAGTCTGCACCCGTGCCCTAGCAGCCACCTGGTGGAGGGAGGGCAGGGGGCGCCCCAGACGGACAAGTGTCCCCAGGCCAGCCTGTCACTGGAGGAGAAGCACCCTGCCCTGTTGGCACTGAGGGAAGCACCTGGCCCCCTGGAGCCATGGAGCTTGCAGGGGAGAAAGGCGGGGTTGAGCCCAGGGACGCTGCCGAGCCACAAGGCCCCACTGACCTAGGCCAGGAGGGCGTGGGGCAGCAGCCAGATGGTAGAGACCGGCTCGGAGCAGGAGGTCTGCTTAGAGGGAAGGGGTACGACCTAGGTGGTCTCGCAGTCTTTCCTGCCCCCGTGCCCCTTGGGAGCTGCGCCCCTGCCTGTGCACCCCATCTCCTGGAGGTAGAGGCTGCCGCTGCTTCAGCTGGCAGCCCAGGTGGACCCTTGGGGGTGGGAAGGGGGAAGGATTGGCCCATGAGGACACACTGAGGCCATCACCAGTTTCTGGCCAGCTGTCATCTAAAGGTCTGAAACACAAAGCTCCTTCATGTTCCCAAAGGTGCCCAGGCCTCTGGGTTTGCACAAGGGGACACAGTATCCACTGGCACCGAGTGGGACTTGGAGGAGGCTGTGTTCCGTTCCTGAAGGCCACGGCTGTGGGCTGCCCTGTGCGCTGTCTGTCACTAGCTGGTCTGCCTAGGACGGCCCCCTACCTGTAGGGTCTCATGCGTGGGCGTGGCAAGGCCAGAGTCAACTTACTGAGTGCCTCGTTCTCGGGGAGGTGGGCCTTGGGGTCAGCCCAGGTTTACATCTCCTCAGCTTCCTCACTGGTGCGGGGAGGGAGCTGGTTGTTTGGGGTACTGCTGGTACCCCAGGGCGCTTGCTAAGACGACTTGAGTTTGGCGGCAGAGTCCAGAATGGCCAGCAGGTGGCGCCATCAGCCCATCTGCTTTACTGGGTTAGCAGGTAGAATTTAGGGGATCAGGGAGTGAGTTTCACCCCAAATTGTGAACGTGGATGAGAACCGAAGACAGACAGTGGAGTGACTGCTCACTGGGCCTCAGTGTAAAGATGGGGACCCTGCAGAGGGAGGCAATGCGCTGATGGTGGCTTTCAAAAGAAAGTCCAGTGGGAGAGGCCACAGGGGCTCCTTGCCCTGTTGGTCAGTCAGCTCTCCGGTCTCCTGGGGGCTGCAGCCTGGAGCCCTGGAGCAGTGTTGTCCGGCCCCAGGATTCTGGGGTGGGCTGGGGGCAGGGCCGGGGCTCTTGTCAGAGGAGAGGGCCTGTACCCCTGTTGCCCCTGGATGGTGGGGCCTTTGCCCACGTGATTTCTGACAAACTGGTTTCCCCGGGGACAGGATGGGAAGGTGAAGAGCCCTGTGGACTTTAGGCAGAGGTGGCTGCTGGGACCCTGTGTCCGGCCTGCAGCAAGGGGTTACCCTGGGTTCCAGTGACTGCTGCTTTTCTCCACTCGAAAGGACACTCACTGGGAACGTGTCCAGACTGGCCTCTGACTTCACCTGCTGTGGCCTCAGCTGGTCCTTCGTCACCTACAGGAGCTTTCACGGGCGTCCGTCTTCAGCCCGGCCTCCGTTTCCGATCTGAGGCGTGGGGGGGCTGAGGGCTGATGTCATCGGCTGGCTGTGCGGGGAGCCTGCTTCACCGGGGCCTGGGTCCCCTGGGTGGGCTGGGGCAGGGTCAAGCCCGCACATCCCATGAGCCCTGGAGATGCGGCGGGGGGTGGGGCGGTCACCTCGGTTCGAGTCCCCCAGCAGGTGGACCCGCCTGCTCTTCCTTCTCCCCGTTTCCCACACGGACAAGCTCCCCCTAGGTTCTGCCCCTGCAGCCTGCAGGGCGCAGCAGCCGCCGGAGCCCCAGGCGTGCGGAGACACAGCACGGGGCCGGAAGGGGACGAGGGGCCGCTGGGGCCAGCGGCAGAAAGGGCGGGGGCTCCCCGTCTGCGGTTGACTGAGTGCCCGCTCAGCAGGACGGCACCGGGTGCCACAGCCGGTCTCCTCTGGGGGCCCGAGGACAGCGAAGGAGAAACGGGGCGGAACAGGGACCGGTGTCCCACGGCCGTGGAGGCAACATGACAGCAGAGACGCTTTCTGTCAGCTTCCTGTGATCCTTGGATGGGGCCCGGGGGCTTTCGCCTGTGGGAGCGAGACCGAGACTGTGAGCCAGCCCTGGGCTGGGGACCAGAGGGGCCTCTCCTGCCTCGGGGCCTTGGCACACGCCGCCCCTTCTGCCCGCAGTGTCCCCCCACACAGAGGGCTCCCATTCACAGCCCAGCCTGAGCTCCGCCCAGCCCTCCAGCCCCCTCCGCGCCCCCTTGTACCCTCCTCCACACTGGGCCCGCCTCCCTGCCAGCCTGGGCATTGCGGCGGGTGGGGTGGGTGCAAGGACCCCCCCTGGCCGCCTCTGGGTCTCTCTCTGGTCATCGGCCAGGAGTGAGGTTAAGCACATGGGGCCATGGAGACATGCCCTGCGCCTCCCCACTCCGGGCCCCCAAGCCCGGACTCCCCTCTCGCTTTCCAGCAGACCCCACCTCCCTGCAGGCTCGGGAGTCGGTCAGGGCTGCGGGGGGCTGAGGGCTGGCTCTGCAGTTCCTGCTCGGCCCTTCCTCTGGGCCCCGGGCCTCTGCCTCCGTGTTGAAACCCAGCCCTGGGCCGTGGAGGCAGCACCCACCAGCGCGTTCATGCTTCCGCCGCGTGCAGGCAGCGCGTGCAGCTATCTTCGGGACCCAAGTGGAGAAGCGGGGTGCAGGCAGGGCAGGGGCTTCCCAGGCCTCCCGTTTGTGGGCGGAACCCGGTTTGGCCGCCCAGCCCCTCGTGGGGCGTGTTCCCGCATTGGCATTGATAGAGCCCCGTCAGGAGCCGGGAGTCCCAGAGCGTGAAGTCCGCCTGGGGCTTCTCTAGGGTGGGGACGCTGCAGCCGGCTGTGAGGTGGCCAGTAACTTTGTGAGCTGCTTGTTAAGCATAGCCACGATCAAAGTCAAACTCATTAAGTCAACGTAAAACAGAAATTATAGAAACAACAAAAGTAACAAACACTAGACCCTTCCGGCTTCCTAATTATTTACGTCATGCGACTCTGGGCCCTTGTGCGCATGTGGTTTGTGTCCGGCCGCGGCGTGAAAGCCCCAGAGGCCGGTGTGCTGTGCCCGCGTCCTCCCAACTCCATGCCCACTGGCCCTGTGTCCACGCTGGACGCGGGCACACGCCGCCCACCGGGGCTTCCGCCCCCCGGGGCTGGTCGGTGGGTCTTGACCAGCAAGCCGCCGGCGATTAGCACTTGATACTTACCCCGTTAAAAATTAAAACCCATCATTTAGAAATATTCGTTGATGTGGTCTTATTAAAAATAACAGTCGACTAATTACACGTTGAGGTAAATACAAAGGAAAGTGACTTTTTTTCCGAAACAAAGTTTCAGCGAGAAGAGCGACATCGTTTCATGTTGTTGCAAATCTCTGGCGTTAGTCCCGGCTGCAGCTGTCCGCAGCTGTCCGCAGCTGGCTGCTTCCATCCTGGGCCATGAGCCGTTGTAGGAGAAACATGGCCTCTCAGGTAACGGTGCCCTTACCCACCCCGAGCAACCGGCAGCCTCTGAAAGGCAGCCACATGTGAGAGCTGAAGCCACACCAACGGCTGTTTGGGATCCTATTAAAACACGTCTGTCCGTTTTCCACTTCGAATAGATCCTGTGCGGGATTTTGGAAGGTCGCGTTTGGGTCATCTGGAAAACACTGGCTCGCTGAGATCGGCAGCATTTCCAACTGTTGACACATTTTTATCGTGTCGCCACCGCTCTCACGAGAAAAAGCCTTTAAACACTGGGCAGCGTCGAACGCACAGCGGTGGTTGGAGTTCTCCAAAATACCAATTTTCACTTCAGCTTGAATTGCGCCGCTGGTGACAGATCCCGTCGCTTTGTTATCCCTCTGCTGTCACTCACCTCGTCCGCTTTGGAAGGAGCATCTCCGGACATCGTGCGCACGCGTGCCAGCACAGCT